ACTTTGTGCAGTTTAACTATTCCTCAGTGTGATCCTGCTCTACTGTGAGTAAGTATTCCTTGTTCCAGAATTTCTGTTGTCTCATAGGCCTGGGATTCCTGAAGGTCACTTATACTGGTAAAGACTGAGACAAGGAAACAGTATATGAAGTATTCTGTATTCTTCTGATGTTCCCCTGGTCAGCAGTGGGTTCATGTTTTCCCCATTTTCCTTTTGCTGCCAATACTTTTGTATAGATCTTGGTTTTGCTGCTCTTCATATCTCTCACCAAATTCAAATCCAGGTGGGCTTTAGCTTTCGTGACCTCATCCATGCATGATTTGACACCGTTTATGTATTCCTGCTTTCATATGGAGTACAAACTTTTATGTTGGAGTTTAATCCCTTGTTCACCCAAGCAGTCCCCCACCAATACCTTTGCTTGATTTCCTGCTTCCTAGGATGATCTTTGGCTTGGAGGTTATTGTTCAGTCACTGGGTATGGTGAGCAGGGGTATCAGCATGGTTTTCAGACCTATAAATCTGCTCTGGCAGCTTGCTTTAAGAACTGTGGTATCCACATCTGTGCTACTGGGCTGTCGTAATCACCAGGGAGGTCCATCAGTGTGATACATGGATAAGAAAAGAGAATTGTAGTTTCATTCTCAGCACTACAGAACATGAACTGCAGATCAGGCACATCTTTCGAGTTCATCATTTGCTTCTACCCTACCTTAGCATCACTGTCCAGGAGGGAAAGAAATTTTAGGTATTCAGCAGTGACCTCACAGGTCACTTATTTGACTTAAGGATTTTTCTTCGCTTCTTATGAGTGCATCTTTCTTGAATTGTAAAAAATGCAACTCTCATTTCTACTTACATTGTACTTCCTCAGTTATATTCTATCTAATGCATCAAATCGGAATGACTTTGACAGTAGTAGGAGGCTGGACGGAAAGTCCAGTTACTGCATTAAATTGCTTAGAAAATGGAGCTATTTAATCTCGACATCTGTAGAGCTACTTCTAGAGCAAAGTCTAGGTAGTTTGGAGACTGGGGAAACAGTAGTGCCATAAACTATAGCTTAAGGGCTTTGGCAGGCCTTTGATGTCTTCTATTCACACAGACTTTTATCCTATTTGAAAGGAATTTGTGAGGCTTATGTTCAGCAACCTCTATTCTAAGTGCTCGCAAGCATGCATGCTTAGAAAATAGCTTAGTAACAGGTATTTGAGTTCAAAGCTAATATAAAATCCACAGTACCTCCTTAATCAAACCATGGGGGTTTTGAGTTTCTTAGTAGTGAAATGTTATTTGACTGGCAGTCAATAGCTTTCTTATTGAATAAAAATACAATTCACTGTTTTTCTTTCTTCCTTGGCTGATGGTCACTCCCAGGAATTTTCTCTCCAGAGGACCTGGCCAAATACAAAGGAACTTGTGTTTGACAGCTTAAATAAGACTAGATGGAACAGTTTTCAGTGAATCTCCAGAGAGAATTAGAAGTTGACAGATAAAACTGAGATGTGCCAGTGATGTGTGCAGCTATACAGCTTCCTTCCTGTGGCTTATCTATAAGTAGTGCTTGTCCTCCCCTGCTTTCCTTAGTGTCCAACTTTACATTAATAACTGAACACAATGAACTGTTACAAAATGGACTTTGTCGCTGTGCGCTCCTACTTATGTTGGGCTAAATGTGGGGGCCTGAAAGGGTTTATTTGAAAAATTTAACTTGGCTGTTCAGAACTGCTTGGGTTTTGGTAATTGAGGATTTTATTGTTTCTAGTCCTGACTCCTAGGCAGTCTGTCTCCATTTTCTGGTCCTTGGTCTCCTTAAGATCATCTTGCCAAATGGGGCATGGAGCTTTTATTTCTTAACGGTGCCCATAAACCAAGTGGGCAAGTTGCTCAAGGTGTTTTATTCCTTGTTGTATTTGTCTACTTCTTGGGTAGATGTCAGTGTCCTGCTTCTTGGCAAGCTTTCCGCTGTTTTCCTGTCACTGGTGCAGGTTGCCTGTTATTCTTTGGTGCATAGAGAGTTTATCATAGGTGTATAATTTTATCTGTAAAAGAGTAGGAAAGTGACTCAAGATACAGAAACTGTTCTTCTAAACATGCATGTATGTAATGTAAGGGTTGAACATACAGAATTTGAAAAAACATGCATCTTGCAAGGATATGGCTTTTGGCTGCACAGACATATACTGGAAGCAGATTTACCACTTTTTAAGGAAAACAAAACAAAAAAAACCAAATCCTTGTTTTTACAAAAGTTTGGTGTTAAACCCTTAAACACAGAACTTGTAAAATCAGCCACTTGACCCACCTGTGTCAATCTGCTGTACAGCTGGTAGCTGAAACTTGATTCCTCTTCTCTTTCTGACTTGCAAGACTGCTTTCCCCTGAGCTTTGTTTCTGTAGTTTTTCTACTGCTGCTCATTGTCCTTGACTTTGCAAAAACTCATATAAGGAAATAGAATGGTTAGTTTAAAAAAAGTGGCAAAGTAAAATAACAGTAGGGTCTCTCCTGCTTTCCTCTGAAAGAGCTAATGTTGCTGATGAGATGTGGTTTTGCGCATCGAATCTACTCTAGGAAGTTCTAAGAAATTTTTAAAAGCCTTTTCTGAAGGATCTGCTAAATTTCTCATCTACCTTGTGAAAGGCTCTTGGAAATCAAGTATTCTGTTGTGCATGAACATGACTGCTGTTCTTGTAACATGTATTATCTGGTCTCTCGTTTCCACTAGTTTACAAGATTCCATCATTGTTGTAATTAAAAGTGGTGCTGCAAAGTATATGGACGTATTACTTCCAGTGTTGCAAAATTGCCATAATAACTTTTTGCTACCGCTATTCAGATAGTTAAAGAGGCTTCTTGTGGCAGGTTACAAGCACGTAAGTCCTAAACACTCCTGCTGTGTGACTCTGACTCTAAGAGTTGATACTGTCTTCTAGGAATAATCTTACGTAGACTTTCTTAAATGGCAAGAATCAAAGCAAAATGGAATGTCTAACCTAAAAATTCCCAACTAGTCTACAAAACAAGCTACTGCTTTCTGTTCACACTGTATCTTGAAAAAACTGTGAGATATGTCAAAGACATTTTTAAAAGTGGGAGGAGAATTACTTTCTTGGAAAATGCCCATTGTTATGTCTGACTGGATTTATAGAAGAGGTCCCTGTGACATGGGAAGCTGAGGCAGGATTTACACATAGCAGATTCCTGGTGGAGTGTTTTGGTTGGTTCATTTTTTACGCTTTGATCATACACACTGGATCAGTTTTTGCTAAAGGGTCTGTGGTTTTCTACATGGCATCATCATGGTGATAGTTTTCATGAGCAGTTCTGTGGACAGTTCCATAGTGCACATTTCTAATAACACAAAGTGAGGGGGCATGTAGAAGAGGCCTAAGTAATTTTTAGTTCAGGGGGCTCAACTCCAGTGGAAAATAATTCTTCAGTGTGGCTTTACTGCAGTTGAAACAAACTGAATGTAAACTGGGAAATTCTGTTATTCCTGTTGTAAGGCTGGACATTGGCAGCTCTTCTATTGCAATTAAATTGGCACATCTCCAAAAAAAATTAATTTGGAGAAAAGGTTGAGCTTATCTCCAGCTGCCTGTGTGTGGGATCAGTAGACAAACACTTTGAACACAGGTTTTTAGCTCTTGTGTGGCTCTTGCATTAGAAGAGCATGGTGCTGTGGCTTGCAGAGGTCTGTGTTGGATAGTGCATTATCTTGTACAGCTACGAGTTTTGTAGGTCAGGCCTGTTCAGCCAGCTTTGGAAGATCCCTTGCACAAAGCTTTTTGGTAAAAGTTTGAACAATCACAGAAGCGTTCAGGGTACTGCTTGTTTAATCTCCAGGGTGCTCTATCTCAATTGCCTCTTACTGTAGTTCCGTAGGAGTCTAAGAGTTTGCTGATGTGCATGGAAATGATACAGGCAGAGGATTTGAAAATAAATGCAAAAGTATTAGGTGAAAGATGTATTTACAGAGCTGAGTTCAGCTTCCCAGAGCTGGCTGACCCTGCATTGCAGGGAGGGAAGGAAAGGAGAAAAATCTGACTGCTTTTTGAGGCTCCTTTTTATCTTAATATTTTCTACAGTGAAAATCCCAAATAAAGTGTTTTGTCTTGTCCTGTTCCACATGCATGGATATTGTGGTCTGGTCTTCCCTGTAGTAAGGATAAAACACATAGACTCTGTAAGAGACAGTGAAATCTTCAAGATACTGTTTTTGTAGCATGTGTCTAAGGGCTGAAGAATATAATTGATAATCTTAAAATATTTCTGACTGGCTCTTTGAGGCAGCAAGTAAAAGCCTCTGTCAGAATGACTTGAGAAGCTCACTGTCACTTGGCACTTAGTTGTAAGAAGTGTTATTTCTGGTGCAGAAATTGGTAACCTGCTGCTGAGATGAAATGCAGGTTTCATTCCCACTTTTGCCATTCATTTTTAGACTTATAAAAGTGATGTAGCAGAGTGTCTGGACTTAGTGAATGATAGCCTATCATATGATAGCAAGCTCAATGCATGTACAGAGGGCACAGCACTTGGGAAACACAAACCTTTAAGAGCTTTGGGCTGTCTATGGTTTTGACCTAGAATCTGAAATCTTTATTCCTTGCATTTTTTAAAAACGTTTAATGATAATTAAAAAGAAAACAGTCTTTGATCTTCCTTGAACTTGTCTTTGTAATCTTACAGTAAGCTAACCGAGAACATTTTTTCCCCATAAAAGCTTGCTGTGTGTGTACCTAGCTTTCCCCTTTATTTGAAAGTACTCCTTAAATTACATATGAGTTCGTGTAGTTAACTGCTTCTGCACAGTCTGTGTTGTGTTCTTTCAGTTTTTTTGCAGAAGCCAGCTCCAAAAAGACCCTACTTAACTGGCTTTGCAAGGTAACTTTCCTGGCTGCCCTTAAAAACATTCCAGACTCTTAGAACAACTTACTTAGTTCTATTTCAACTGTTTAAAAAGTGTTTGATGTCTAGGTTTTTTGCTTTTTTTCCTAAGGTTTCCTATGCGCGACCAAGCTCAGCTTCTATCAGAGATGCAAATTTGTATGTTAGTGGACTTCCAAAAACCATGACCCAGAAGGAACTGGAACAACTCTTTTGCCATTATGGACGCATTATTACTTCTCGTATTCTGGTTGATCAAGTCTCAGGTAGGTAGGCAGTTTTGCACTTCCTCTCATTTTTGGACTGGAAGTTTTAAAAATATTTCACCTTTCAGTACAACCATGTTGTTTTGTATGAAAGGTGTATGCAAGCCAGAAAATGCAATTTTCTGATGGAGTTGTTCATAAATATGCATGGACAAAAATAGATTGTGGATTGTACTGGACCAGCTTGAGTCACTTCCATCCTGATGGTACAGGTTTGAAGCCTGTTTCATGGCTTGTGATAAACTTACAGCTGCTATAATCTTCCTTTCCAAGCTGCTGTGTGAAAATAGTCCCTATGCACCTTATGAAATGCTATTAAACACATTTTTATAAAAATTAAATTTCATGTGTAAATGCAAAGCTAGTTTTCTGAGGCTAGGATACAAAAGACTGGTCTAGTAATTTCTGTTTTCAGGGTAGCCTCATTAACTTCAGGCACACAGAAGAACATGAACTTTTGAGTTCCTCAGGAAGGTTAAGTTCTGTCTTTGAGGAACTGAGCTATAGCAGATTAGTTGCATTGTTACAGGATGTGTCTTAACCAGTGACTGGGTGTCAATGGCACTGGTTACTTTTCAGACTTGGAAAGTAGTGCATGTAATTTTGCTGGATTAAGTGGCAGACGTTGAGGAGCCTTATTTGCTGCCTCACCTGCTTCCAGCAGGCCTGTTCCAAAATTAAGCAATCAAATGAAATGCCAAGTACATGACAGACATCCTGAATGTGCAAAGCAAAGTACAGAGGAGCTGGGCTCTCAAAATTCTTACCTAAAAAAAAAAAAGACAACCACACCCCCCAGAAAAACAAACCAAAACCAGATCAGGGCTGTGGGACGCAAGAGTTAATGTACTCACATAATAATAAGCTAGCAAGCTAGCTTGATTTTTTTTTTTTTTTTTTAATAGCTGTACCTGGTCAAAGTTGCATGTATCGTGGGTGACAAAGCTTTCAGCTGTAGGACGTCATAAAGTTTTCAAATGGTCTTACTTTGAAAGGGTTGCACATACCATTGTTCGACATATGGCTGACCTGTAGAGGGCCTCATGTATAGTCCATTACGTTAACAGAAATCTCAATACTGCCACATAATATTTAAAGTGTTTTAATAGTGTGAGTTGGTAAAAGTGTAGAGAGGCAAGAAAAGGAAAGCTAATGGCCAAATAGTAACTTCTAGATGCAGTAGATTTGCAGGTCAGATTTCCAGTCTTTGTGCAATAAGAAACTTTTTTAGAGTATGTCGCTATATATTCATGGATAGAAATAGGTGGAACTTTACAAGGGGGTGAGCTAAGTAAATATAATTGAACTTTTAAATATGTAATATAATTCTTAAGTACTCGTAAATCCAAGTATGTGCACAGTAGTTCCCTGGCATACAATGTTACTCAGGTTGAATCTTTCTTTCCTCCTCCTTCCTAGTTATTTGGAAAAGCTAGGCTCAAAACGCTATGAATAATAAGCTTGTGATACCAACTGCCATGAGAAATGCAAAATTGAAGCTGTGATATTTGCCTCTAAAGCTTTCTTATGCCTGCTTATTGTCATTTTGCTGGTTTAAATTGTCATTATTTATGAACAGAATACATTTCTTGTCATTAATGTCTTTCTCAAGTGAGGACAAGTGTCTAACTTGTCTGCTTATTCATGAACCAAAAGAAGGGGCCTCTAAATGGATTTAGGAATATTACAAAACGGCATGCAACTAATTAGTGTTAGCTGTAATAGCTTTAATATTAATTGGTTTAAGTACTGAAACTTCAGTGTGTTAATGTATTTAAGCCACAGTGTAAACTTTTGAGTTGTGATATTCTAAGACCCTCCATAAACACTTATACCCTTGTATGTCATCCTTGACTTTTTCTGTACCAAGGAAAAATAAATGGCCCAATGAAATTTTCCTTTAAAAATAACACCTACAAAAGTATGGTGGTATGCTGAAATTGAATCTTTTACTTAGAAGTAACCACAGGCTGTTAGAGCCACAGTAACACTATTCCTGCAATTTACAACCTGCACTCTGTCTTCATCCTCACTGCATATTTGCTCCAAAGGGAATTTCAAGGAGTGCTGCAGGAGAGCATAAGCCATTTCTTGCTAGTATGGAGCAAATGACTAAGCTATTTACAGAATTTCTGTGGATTTAGATATTACAGAGTAGTATGAACTGAACAGAGATTACAGTGTAGCTGGTTCTACATTCATCTCCATCCCTCTTCCAATTGCTTTGCTTCAGAATTACCTTTTGGCTCACTGTGTTTAAGTTGTCTCCACTGTAATTTCCCTCATCTTTCCACCATTATATCTTATGTTAGTTAAATTTAAAGGAAAACAAAACCAAAAACCAGTGGAAAAGCCTTACTTTGGGCAAAAGCTCATGTCTGGTAAGCTCAGAATTATTATGTATTCACAGAAATTGGTCATTAGTATATCAATTGGTTATAAGTGTTAGTTTCTAATTCCAGAGTCTCTGAATTAATTACTACATGCTTCCTTCCCCCTATGCAGGAGCATCAAGGGGTGTAGGGTTTATCCGGTTTGACAAGCGAATTGAAGCAGAAGAAGCTATCAAGGGCTTGAATGGCCAGAAACCTCCAGGTGCCACAGAGCCCATCACTGTAAAGTTTGCTAACAATCCAAGCCAAAAAACCAATCAGGCTATCCTTTCCCAGCTGTACCATTCTCCAAACAGAAGGTATCCGGCACCTCTGGCTCAGCAGGCTCAACGTTTTAGGTAAGTCAAAAGCATGCTTATGTGCAGCTGTGATGGAAGCAAGTGTTTTCCACCTTCCTTACCTTCTGCTCTTGTCTGATTTCTATGTGTGTGAAGTAGACACATGAAAATGTTGAACTTCAGCTGTGCTTCCTACAGCTAAGCAAAAATTTCATTGTATTGATAGCATTCCAGTATCTGATAAAACTACTTAAACAGATTATGTCTTTTTCTTCTATGCAGTCACTAAATAAAGCCCCTTTTGAAGGTTATTTTTAATTTCTTAGATTATTATGGATTAATGGGCAAGTTGATTCAATTAACGTTGACCTAAAGGCAATTCAGCTTCCTTCTTGGCCATATGGCATGCCACAGCCAGCCTCCTCTTCCCCACTTGCTGTCTTTCCTCCCTCTTCTGGCTTTCAGTTTTTTTCTGTAGTTGTCCAAATCCTGCATGCCACACTGTCTTCTTTTATTACAGAATTTTGTATGAAGATTATGCAAATATTTTCTGCATTTCTGTCTTCGCAAATATATGTTCCCATCACACTGAAGCTATAATCATACAGTTCCCTGTGATATTTAGTGAATTGGAAAGGACAGATGGTGAGAACAAAGTGAAACAAATACTGTATTATCTACATTCATGAGTACCTCAGATTTTTCTCAGTTATTTTGATCATTTCTTCCCACCTTCTGCCCTGGGCTACGTGACTGGATTGTGTTAAACAGTAGTACACTCAAGCATTTTCTATTTTATTTTTCAAGAGATAAAGTCTCTTGACTTTAAAATAGTGTGCTTCAAAGAGAATATACCAAACTTGTAAAGCTCTTCATTGGCTACCCTTACTTTTAGACATAGCATTCAGAGTTTATTGATTGCACTTCTGGCAGGACTTCTGAATTTTAGTTTTCTTCAGCTTTTCAGCCTTATGTGCTGTATCTCACAGGTGTGAAAGCACTAGAGTAGCTCTTCTGCCTTGAAGGGAGAACCAATTTCATTATTGATAGATTGAGATAAGAACAGTTTAACTAAAGTACAATATAATATGTGAGGTGGCCCTGCCCATGGCAGGGGGATTGGAACTGAATGATCTCAAGGTCCTTTCCAACCCTAACTATTCTGTGATTCTATAATATTACTACTAATAATAAGGGAAATAGCAAGGGGAGAGAATATAAAACTAAAAGGGAAAAGGGGAAAAAAAACAAATCCACCAGTAAATACAGGTGATGCACAATACAATTGCTCATCACCTGCTGACCAATACCCAACCCAAGCTACCCCCAGTTTCTATACTGAGCATGAAGTGCTGTAGTATGGAATGCCCCTTTGGCTAGTTTGGGTCAGGTGTCCTGTCTCTGCTTTCTCCCAGCTTCTGGTGCCCCTCCTCACTGGCAGAGCACAAGACTAAAAAGTCTGATCAGGGTAAACATCACTGAGCAACAACTAAAACAGCCATGGGTTTTCAACATTATTCTCAGACTAAAGTCAAAACATAGCACTGCATTAGCTACTAGGAAGAAAAATAACTCCCCCAGCTAAATCAGGGCCATTTAAATTTCATGGGAAAATTGTTTTTTTGGGTGTGTCTTTGTTGCTGTTGTTTAGATGTGGTTTTATTTTTTTGTTTGGTTGGTTGTTTTGTTGTTGTGTGTTTTTTGAGAAATTAACGTAAAGTGATGCCTAAAACAACCATAATAGGTACTGTGATTTGCTCCACTTAAAAGTATAAAGGTTCAAAAAGCACTGAGTAGGTATCAGGTCTGTAGTGAGCGAGATTAAAATCTTTCTCGCTTTATAGATTTGAAGGAAGAGTAAGGTTGAAGTATGACCGGTCAAAAGGTAAATTGGGGTTGCAGACAAAATTAGATATTTTTCTTAATATAATTTCTGGGGAGGGCATTTGAGCATCTGTTTCCACTCTAAAAGAGGCAGCCTTGCCAAATTTTAAGTTTTTATAGCTATAAAGGCAAATTCTCTCTTGTTTATTTAGTTGTTTGCTTTACTGGTTTTGCAGCATTCCAGTTCTGTGGCTGTGTAGATCAGATTGCACTGATACTTCAGATCCTTTAGGTCTCACTTGCAAGAGATCTTAGCTGTTGACTTTTCAGATGTGATTGCCTGATGTACTTGCCCTGTGTTTGTAATGGTCGACAGAGACCTGAAAACAGAATTAGCATAAGCTTTAGTAATAAAGAACGATAAGGTCACTAGAGTGCTGCCTTTCTTCTTGCTAAGAAAAATTGTGATATGGACTTCAAAAAGTAGCTATATATAACTGTTTCTCAGTTTCTATAGGATGCGTCTTTAAAAATTTTTAGCATCTTTAAAAATTGTCCAGTGGCTGCCCCTGATAATTTTTCCAGAATATTTTTAAGTTGTCCAGATAACTGAAAACTGTTACGGTTTGATAGCATTACTGTATTAAGTCTTCAGCCCAGGGCTCTACAGCAACGACCTGTAAATGGTGGTGTTTCTGGAACTCTTCACCCTCCTTTCCACCCCCAAATGTTAGTAACATTAGACTTCTGTCATCCACACTAACTCTACTGATAATAGGTGTTTTTTAAATTTCCTTTTTAGGTTTGCAGTGGTTTGCTTTCTTGTCAGCGATTTCCACAAACCCTGCTCACTGCAGAATCATAGTGCTCTGTAGTTTGAGACTTTTACTTGTTTGCAAATGAGACCAGGCATTTTTTTTCTTCAAGCTGTTTGTGCACAAGTTTAGTTATACCGCTGCAGCACTTGAGTTTGGATTCTGTATACCAGTAATGGTTATTAAATCCCATAGCTCATTACTGCAGAGAAATCACAGTAAGGTACAGATCTGTAAGGTAGGTGTAAGCTGCAAATTAAGTGTACTCTTTCTTACTGAAACTTACCTTTTGTGGAGTCCTGAAGAGAGCCTTTAAGACTTTCTCTTCACATGTCTGGACTTTGCCAGGAAGAAACCAGGGCTTCTTTAGGGTAGAAATTCTCTTTAAAGTACTCCAAGGGACTTCAGGAATAACATTAAGAGGACTGGTAGGTGCTGCATGTTCTGGGTATTAGCTAGGTAATTACAAAGGGTTTAGAGTTGTGGTGGCATGCTGCAGTTCAGCAGTTTGGGGGAAGAAACACTTGGAGGAAGCTTAAGGGCTAATAGATGTGTGCGTGTGTATATATTCTAAAAACACTATTCTGGAAAAGAGTAGGAAAATAAGTTTTTATTTGCAGTTCATAGTCTAACATTTGTTACTGATCAAAAACCCTGCATCTCTCTGGGTATTCATATCAGCAGACTGTCAGAAGCCTCAGTAAAGTTTTTATCCACAACAAGTTAGTAATCTGGAAAATTTCACCAAGGTGATCACTGTCTAACATTATGCTAGAGTATTTGACTTAAGCTTAAGTAGTGGTACTTAATAGTGGCACTTTGAATTGAACTATTTATAATTGTGGATGCTACACAAGAACATCTGTTTTGCATTTGCTAACTGTATCAGGTGTAATAAGGTACCACAGCTCTTTCAGTGGTGATACTTCCACTTAAGCATGAAGTTCTCTGCTATGCAAGGAACTTGGCAGTAACATATCAAGTTTCCTTAAGACTAAAGGGTGGAAAAGTCTGAAGATTGAACACATGCTAATGTTTTGCAGGTTGGACAATCTGCTCAATATGGCTTATGGAGTAAAGAGGTAATAAAGGACTGCTGGGTTCATAATAACCAAATTATTATTTGGTGTACTTTTACTTTTTCAGTAAGGCTTTTGTTGGATTTTTGCATGTTGAGACTTCAGATTGTTCATTTTGATGCATTGTGCATGGAAGAGAGAAACCATTTGTAGCAGATCCCTGGAATTCCTGTTTCAAATGACTTACTAATCCTCACTGGTTTTATAGCATGCTTTTCTTTTGATTTTTTGTGTGTTTTATTTCAGACAGACCTAGCACTGTTCTACTTGTGTATAGTATTGTACATAGTATTTGGGGTGCGGAAGAATAAATATTGTAATGTTACCTTATTAGTCTGGCCAGTATGTTCATACTGAGAGGCCCTGTGTCATCATCTTTTTTTATTTGGAATTTTTTTGGTGGAATTTTCTGTGGACTTCATGATTCTGTTTTGTTTTCTTCCATTCTTCAGTAGGTTTCCTCCAATGACCATTGATGGAATGACGAGTTTGGCTGGAATTAATATCCCTGGACATGCAGGAACTGGATGGTGCATTTTTGTATACAACTTGGCCCCTGATGCTGATGAGAGTATCCTCTGGCAAATGTTTGGACCCTTTGGAGCAGTAACCAATGTGAAAGTCATCCGTGACTTTAACACCAACAAGTGCAAAGGTTTTGGATTTGTGACTATGACAAACTATGATGAGGCAGCTATGGCAATAGCTAGCCTGAATGGATATCGCCTTGGGGACAGAGTATTGCAGGTCTCCTTCAAAACAAACAAAACACACAAAGCCTAACAAGTTATTCTCAGTGCATTAATACATGAAAAACTATACAACAAAGGCAGTTTACAAGATGCTTTATGAATTCGTAAATGCCTTTGTTGTATGTCAGTGTGGAAATGGGGATAAAATGACTACTTAGCATCCTGAGAATATGTGAGAATTTTTATTGCTAATATTTGAATTAAAACTTCTTAAATAACTTTTGTGTTTGAATATTGACAAAAGATACAGGGTTTTTACCTGTCACAATGCATATTCTATTACCTTCTTTGAAGAAGGTGGAACTTCTGAAATGTTTCAGTTAAGGAAAGAAGTTGTTTTTTGCGTTTTTTTTGGTTTGTGGTTTTGGTTTTTTTTACATGACTGCCTTCAACCTATGAGCATATAGTGAGGCTTTGTGATTTCTTTTATGTTACTTTTTTATTTGCCTTGTGTTTAATTTACAGTTTAATGCATTACTGTTTTGTTGCTTAGTAAAAGTATTTGAAGTTTACTGTTTATTTATAAAGTTATAAGCAGTATTTATTTTCTAATTATCATTTGGGTTGGGGAGTGGGAACACATTATAAAAAGTTTATTGTAAGAATACTGGAGAACTTTTCGTAAAGCAGTACCTTGCCAAAGAGATAAGAGCCTCTTTGATGTGGGTTTAAAAAAGCATCTATTTTTATAAAAAAATAAAAAATAAAAAATTTGGAGAAACTTTTTACTGGTCCTGGAACAAATATTTTGACTTGAATACTTTGAGAAATCTCTTCATATGACACCTAATGAGCTTTCAAAACTTACCAGGAAATTTGCAATTGCTGGGGAAAATTTAGAAAGATTTATGATGTAGAGATACTTTTGAGACCTTTGTGTTAAGATGTAGAGTCAATGGGATGCACTGTTGGTTTCATTTTTGTAATCATCAGTGGAGTCTTTTGATTATTCTGGTTACTAAGTGATAGGTGGCTCACATTAATTTGTGATTTTGAAACAAATTAAATAATATAAGAGCAAGCAGGAAACTTAAAATACTGAGAAATGGGGAAAAAAAATAATCTGTTCTTCCTAAAGAATTCCCTTCAGATGCAGCTCATGGTGTTTAGTGATGTACTTGCTATTGTTTGAAGAATTGTTTTGTCTTGAGACATTGAGCATGGTTTGCGCAGTAGCAAATCAGCAGAAGTGGCCTAAGTTGGGTATGTTTGGAGGTATTTTGAAAGTTATGTTCAAGGCTAACACCTGAGCTTTGTGTAATGTAAATAAGACCTTGAGTTATGAACCTTTCAGCTAATTTTGATTTTAGTTTATTTTTCTGGTTACATGCCAAGTGATGTTCAATTCTGAATGTTTTATATTGAGTTTTTTCTTTGTAAATGGCATTAACATTGTTACTTGAGGTCTGCTTATTCATTTTTGTTGTCCTGAGGACTTGAATTTACAGTGCATCAGATCTGTTGCTATTTTTGTCTGTAGATAGTCTAGCTTCAGCTGTTTATGGTGATGCTACATTTTTGTTTATAAATATGTTTGTGGTAAAAAATGAGTATAATCATAGGTTTTGAAATTTTCTTGCATTTTTCATACAAAACCCATAACACCTGTATGCTATTGAAATTTAACTTTGTATAATGCTTAAATCACTATTTGGGGAAATACAGAAAATCTTTACCATGTATTGAAGAAATTTAAGGAAAAAATACATAATATTTTCTAATTAGCATCTAGCATATAATTAAATTTTTAAAAAAGCTGAGGGTTTGATGCCTTCATCAGGATGCACTGACAATTCCATAGTTACATCCTGCTTTTTGTATAAACTGAGATGCTCATATGCTTCCCCTTGGAAAAAGCAATGTTCTATGCATAACATAGTTGTACACTATCTTTGCAGTTGCTTTTGGTTCTTATTCTTTTAAACTGTAGTTATAAATTTTTCAGTATAGTACAGTACATATACTGTGAAGTGCGTGCTAAAGTGAGTAAGCAAGTTTTCATGCTGACCCACTCAATGCTATTCAAAACTCAATTGGCTTCCTGAGCACTTCCTCATTCTTAGGTGCATTTAGATTGTTAAAGCTAATCCTGTGCATTAAAAATTGTATATACTGTAGAAATCACAAACCTTCGAATGTGGGGAAAACAGTAGCTACATGCTTCTTTCCTATACTACTGTAGCAACTAACGGCATTGATGAGAAGGCGTGTAAATTGGGCTTCACTTTACAGTGTTTATCAGAGCACTTAGTAAAATATAAGGCTGGTATTTATTTGAAGTTGTATAGTATGACTTAATTCACATCTGTTGGAATAGAAGATACATTCTGTTGAGTATTTAAGAGGTTGTACATGTTTTCTTTTGTGTTTGGATCCTTTGTACTTTTTCATGTTCAGTACATCAATAAACAAAGTTGAAGGGAACACAGTGTGTCATGAGCAGGTCTTTTACCATATTGTCCTCTGTGTTAATGGGTAAGTGATCTGAGTGAAAGGTTTCTGCAAAGCTCTTGAGCTCCTTTTACTTGGCTCAAGAGCCTAGTTGCCAAGAAGAATGTGGGACAGTGGGAGCAGCATACCAGTTATGTCAGAGTTAGTGTTGAATTTTTTCACTTTGGTTTAATGTGAGCCACTCAATATTAGACTGATAGAAGAAATGAGGATCATTAAACACGTTCACTAAAAATTTTTTTGCTGTCTAGTAAACTGCTGTTTAGTATAGCTAAGTTAATGCCCTTATGTCTTAGGACAGAGAGGAGAGGGAAGGATTTACTCTTTATTGCAGTGTCCACTTGCTGTTTAATTACTGCATTCATTTTCTGGGCTCCATGAATGGAGTTAACCTTAGTTTGCTGTTTTTTCACTTCCCAGCTTTTGCAGAAATTCTTTAAAAATTAGTTAACTCTTGCCCTTTTAAAGCACATATATTCATGAATTAATTTGCTTTTATCAATTGAATGAGAGTGAATTTCCACCAGTGAGAATACAGTTCCAAAAAAGTGGCTTACGCAGTATAGCTTTTATTTTTAACTGCTTTCTTTCACCTTCCTTTTTGTATCTTTACTGAGATTTTTTTTTAATGCAAAACCTTGTAATATGTTGTGGCATGGAGCATCTCTCATCACTACAGTGTGATGGAATTGAGTTTACTTGGGTTGTGGGATTGTAAATCTGTGAGCAGCGCACAAACCTCAAGATGCTGGTCACAGCCAGTGTTAACAAACTGCCTATATTTACTTATAGAAATAGTGTGTATTGATGACTATACATTTATGTTATTTGGCTGAAGTACTGAAAAGATGCAAGAGATGGTGCTTGGCAGCAAATAAGGAGCTATATTTGGAGTTCAGTTTTCCAGCAGGGGCATCTGTGTTCAGCTTGCACTCTTTCATGGAAGGATAGCTTTTAGTTCTCAACTTAAACCAGTTTAAGTACAGCATAACTAGCAACAGTTAAATTGTTTTGTTATATGGAAATGAGGACAAAAATGTCTTACATAATTCTGATAAAAATCAAACCTGTTTATATTTTGAGAGTTAGCTGCAGGTAAGCAGGCAGTCCAGGAGCAACGCTGAAATTGTTGGTTCTAAGTGCAGTTGCCCAGAGGAAAGGTCAGTGCTGAAAAATACAGATTTGATATGTAGCTGAGCACCTCTGAGTAATTGGAGCTTATGAGTAAGGAATGCAAATTTATACAGAAGTAGTACTTTTCTTACTATATTAAAGTTTTATAATAAAGCTAAGGACGAACATGTGAAACGGCTTCACATAATGTGGTAGAGGAAGACTGGTTCCTTAGGTACCTAAATAATGAGTTACAGGAATATATGTAAACATCTGTGAGGGACTAACAGTACTAGATAAGACAAACTCGAAGCATGACTCTGGCAGAGGGTGAGCTGTATCTGGGGGACATGAGCGTTGGCTGAGGCACTTGTGGAAGGGCTGCATTACTGCACAGATATGCTTGAGGCTTGTGTGGCTTCTTCTGCAGAAGATGTATGCAATGAAATTAACTGTTACTGGTGGATTTCCCACCTGTGTCTAGAAAAGGCTTTCTTTAAGACAGTATTTTTCCAGTGAATGAAAAAGGTGCATTTCTTTAAAGCATATGGCTGTCTGTTAGGGTTGTGCACCCAGGGGTCATTGAGACATAGAAGTCTGGGGTAAATACTTTTACCTGTACTGCTGAGCAGGCCTGACTGATGTTTAAAATCTGTTTCTTTGTATTGTGACTTCAAACACACTGCATTAGGGTGCCTGAAAGTATGGGAATGGTGATTGAAGTTTAATCTTCAGAAGCAGCAACTAGTTAGGACTTACTATCAAAAACTATATATCTTTATGACTAGCAAAGGGTATCGCAGGTTTTCTTATTCTAGCAGTTTGAGAAATTAACCCATTTTGAGGTGCTCCATCATGGTAAAATAATAACCTGGGATTGTGCCATTCAACACTGTCAACACCATTGATCGAGCTGTGCTTACACCTTTAACATTGGGCTTTGCCTGTCCAGCTGCGGTGTTTGGACTTCAACATTTCACTGCTGTGCCCTTCTGAAAACCAAGAACAATGCACTTATTTTTAACTTTGATTTTCCTAATTAAACTTTGCTGTAATGCCTCTGTAGGGGCACCTGTCTACAGAGCTACTGCTGAGATGACTAATGCTTTGGGCCAGCAGATATACTGGCACATCAGAGGTCATCTGTGCTTAACAGATTATAACAAAACTGAGGAGATTTGGACTTTTGGTGAAGCAAGGATACTGGGGTAATGTGGGAAGTCTGATGTTGAGGTGAAAAGCAGTTTTAAACTGAAAAGCTTGACTTGCTGCCCACGCTTTTAATAACTATGACAAAAATTGAAGGAGCAATGTAAACTTTCAAGTACCTTAAAAGCAACATAAGTGACTTCAGTGGGTTAAGAGGTTGCTTAACAATGCTGTCAAGTCTGATGTCTCATCTTGTAACTTATCTTCTATTTTCTTTTTTTTGAACAACATTCTCCGAGACATAAATGGTAACAAGGAAAACATTTCATATATATATATATATATACACACACTTCTAAGGCCACTCTAAATACCAAGTATTATTGCAAGAAATTAAAACATTTAATTTCTTACATATGATGTGACTCATAAGTGAGTTTAAGTAATAGAATCATAGAATGGTTCGGTTTGGAAGGGATCTTAAAGGTCATACAGTTCCAGCTGGTCTGCCATGGGCTGGGACTCCTCCCACTAGATTAGGTTGCTCAAAGCCTTGTCCGGCCTGGCCTTTAACACTGCCAGGGATGGGGCAGCCACAGCTTCTCTGGGCAACCTGTGCCCTTGTCTTTTCACCCTCAA